TCGCCTGGCAACAGCCAGTGAGTGCAGGGCTTTTTTTATTTTATTTTTTTAAAGAGCTGGGATGCTGGGGCTGGGCAGGGCAGCCATTGACGGGACTGGGAGAGCAGGTGGGGGATAGGGCCTATTTGATTCAGAGATTTGGCTGATTCGGCGGTGGCCAAATCTCCAAAACAGATACAGCCGAATTGATTCAGGACAGTGATTTGAATCACCAAATCAAATCACTGTCCCCCGAACTGGCCGAATCCGAATCTGAAGCGAATACTAGCTGCTTCACACAGGCCTACTAGTCACTTTCCCTCTTGGAAGTGCTACCAACAAAGATCCCTTTTATGTGTTGTGGAATTCCATAAGGTATTGGACTGTCTTTCATTCATATAGCGCGCTTACAAACAGACAGCTAGTAGTGATGAATCCAGACATTACTTTAAATTGAAGCAGGCCTGAACTGGAAAACTTAGACATGGATGTCAAGCTCAATATTGATAACTCCTCTGATTTTTATCATGAGTTTCATAATATTTGTAATTTTTCTTGTAAATCCCTTGTGCCTGCCAACCTGAAAAACCAAAAGGCAATAAAAAAGGACTCTCTTGGTGTATCTACATGAGATGCTACTACTCAGTGGTTACTGCACATTTATTTAGTACTTTTATAAGCAAATACTAAATAAATGCACAGTAACTAGAGTTACCGTGCAGTAGGGCTGGTGCACACCTTTTAAGTGACGCTGCTGCACAGTAGCCTAATACTGCTGTGCAGTAGTGTCGCAGCATGCTTCTTGCCACGTGATGCTACTGCACAGTATCAGGCTGTTGTGCAGTCAGCGTAGACATGCCCTGTATATAGTATTTAAAACAGTTCATGATATTTCAGGAACCTGCTTCATGATTTTTATTTGAATGCCTTGAGATGGTCAGTAGTGTTAATTTCCCTTATCTGAATCACATGACTTGAAATGAAGTCCAGCTTCTTTGTGTGTTTCTGTGTACACTATAGAAAACCAGTGTTTTTAGAGATGTTTGGATTGGGTTCAGAGCATTTTAGAAGCAGTGCAGTCATCAGTGAGTGACCAAACTCAGATTTAAATTCAGGATATGAACGACTTTCCATGGCTACCTTGTTGGATTTTTTTGCCTCCAAAGTTTGGGGACAGGGTGTCTTCAGACATGAGGTATAATGGTTGTATCCCACTACCAATCCCCCTGAGTCACTCAAATCCTTCTTGAAAAATTCCATTAAAGCACAAGCTTCTGACCATGTGGTGTATAATGTCTAATAACAATGTTGATACTCCATCAGTTGCCGACAAGGAACAGAAGGCCATCCTTTGTGGGTGTACTTAGGCACAAAGTACATCCGCCAGTCCCAGATGGCTCCCAGACTGTTCTCTTTTCTGAAGAAAAAGGCAGCTTCAGATTGACAAAGGGTTGTGTACACTGCCTCTGTGCCAGGTCCAGGAACGCTGCCTAAAGACACACCTCTTGTATTCCATTCTTCTGCCCATGTGCCAGATCCTAAAACTGAGGCAGTGTGTCCAGCTTGGAGCACACCTGAGCATGTGCCTTAGTGCCATGCTCTGTATCAGGTATGTGTTTCTGGTACATGCTCTGGACAGCTTTAATATGATCACGTTGCTTCGTTTTCAGGGTTTGGCATGTGCTGACTGGGAATGAGTGATTGGGGTATGCTTCTCAGTGGCAGAGGCAGTTTAGACAGGTCCTTCATAGTATCACACCTGCTGGTTGTCTAGGTCTGGGTGTTCCCCCTTGATTTGTGGTCAGAGCTATGTCAACCTCATAGAAGGTTCGTCCCCCAGGACTCTTCAGAGATTTGTGAAGAGAGCTTCATGTTTAATCTCTTTAAGGCCATTATATTGCAAGTCTGATTTAACAGTTGTGACTGTTGTGTGCTGCTACACACGGAAAGGTTCTTTTTAAATTTTGGTTGGGCACTGGTCAATCCACCTATTTTGGTTTGTGTCTTTGGCTCCATCCAGAGAGGAAAGCTAAGAAGTCTGACTGTGGAGAGTGGCAGTGGAGTGCATGTGTGCCCACCAGTGGAGACTGTGGCCTGGGGACCCGTGAGGGCACTCGGACTGGAGCTGAATGCAAACAGACTACGAAGACCCAAAAGTGTAAGATCCCTTGCAATTGGAAGAAGCAGTTTGGAGGTAAGTTTTACTATGTCCTGAGCAGTTCACTTCATTCTAACTTGAGGGTGAAGGGACCCTCTCATGTGAATTCAGCTTTGGCAGGGAGCCTGTGCGAATGCTTTTTTTTTGCCTGGAGTGCTTCACATTCAGTACAATGAAAGCTGATTGAAAAAAAAAGAATGAAAACTTTCTTTTCCTTTGTAAAGATAAATGGCTCTCTTACAACCTGGAGATCTTACGGATTTTTTGTGGGGGAGGGGGTGTTCCTGAGCAGTTCTAATTACCATAAAGTCAGGAAGTGCTGCATCAAGCTGTGCTCTGCAGGAGAAGGCAGATTTCATAAGGGGGGGATTTCTTTCAATCCTGATTTATGATATCATAAAGCAGCATAATCAGGGCAAAGGGAATCTAGTGGCAAAAAGTTCACCAGGCAGCCTCATTCATGTCAGCCTAACAACTATAACAGCCTAGAGCCTGTATCCATAATCTGCTTATTTAATGTTGCAGCTTCTTCACTGGGGCAGAGTCTAAAATTTGCAGCTTCTTCAGCTAGGAATGAATAGAGGCTATAGGACTAAGGCTGAAGATAAGCTAAGCTAACCAGGACTGTCCCTGTGGACTCAACTATTCTTTATTATGCAATTTATGTGATGTGACTTGACCATGGCATTACAATAAATTCTGCAATGCTGTAAGTGCAGAGGTTCTGGATGTTTCAGGTCTAGTGCTACATTTGGTGCATATAGTTTTTTTGGGCCTTGTTTTACAAACTCAAGAGGTATGTGTCATTCCATTTCAGATAGACATATGAACATATGGGCTAAGTACAGATATTTGGGGAAGTTAAATTGGGTTCAAAATGGCCACCCAATTTAAATTTAGCTTGTCCTGGTGCCCACCTTACACTTACAGACCTGGCCTCAGTGACCAGCAATCAGCCTAAACCTGTAACTATACAGAATTTACATGCACATAAATTGGTCAAAAAATGCAGAACTCAGTTAAGATAAACCTGGATATACATATCCTGATCCCCTTCCCCACCCACAGGGCCCCTCTTTCCCACACCACCCCACTCACGGGTCAGGTTTGCCGTCCCCACCCCAACTGCAGGTCATGTCTGCTCCCTCACCCCACCTGTGGGTTGCACCTGTCCCTCTACCCCTCATGGGTTGCATCTCCCCTCCAACCCTACCTGTGAATCGTACCTGCTCCCCCTACCCCACCTGCAGACCATGCCTCCCCACCCATCCCCCAGTGGACCTCTCATCCTGTCCAGCCTGCTGGATCCGCAACCCCCTGGCTAGCCTCCCCATCCCGATTTACCTGCTATCAGGCAACTTCTCCCTAATGCCCCAAATGTCTGTACTTAACCCTGGGGACTGGTCAGATTAAGTTATAAATCATCACTAGTTCTCACTACTCTTATGGGGGGTTCAAAGCCCTTTTCTAAATTAGCTTGAAGTCCCTTGGCTATCTGGTCACCTCTTTTGCAAGTTAGGTCATTACACAATTATTCCGTAAAATACATCCCTTTAATATTTCCTGATCTCTCTTTTTTTTTGGTTGTTTGATTAAACTGCTGTAGGTATTGGTCATACCTATCAGAGGCTAGACATAGGTAACACTTTTTTCCTCATGTTCGGTCATTCTTTGATGCTGTGTCCTCATTCCCTCTTTGCAGCAGAGTGTAAGTACCAGTTCCAGGCCTGGGGTGAATGCGACTTGAATACTGCTTTGAAGACTCGAACTGGGAACCTAAAAAGAGCCCTTCACAATGCTGAATGCCAGAAGACTGTTACAATCTCAAAGCCCTGTGGGAAACTTACCAAACCCAAGCCTCAAGGTAAAACCCATTTGCTGCCAATGACACTGCCTATTTATATTCAGTTATTACTTATGTCCTAAGAGGTTTAATAGAAACTTACTTGTGGAGTCAATGTCTCTGAACCATGCAGGCTAGAGACCTGCTAGACAGGAAGTAGGATAAATATTAAAGGGCCTCAGGCTGAGTCCCTTTCAACAGGTACTGCTAATAGGTTGTTAATGGTTTCATGGTGTCACAAAAATTTAAAAAGTTAGCTACAGTTCCCATGCCCAGAGAGCTGCAGCCAACCACATCACATCAAGAGAAAGCAACCAAGGGGAAACCCCCCCCCCCGCTGATAGGAGCAAACCAGTAGCAGTAAGCAACAATGATTGTAACAATACAAATATTATTTATATCTTCATTTTTATTTACTTCTTAATAATTACTTCTTAAAAAGGATCTTGTTTCCCTTAAGTAGGACTATGCTCTCAAGTAAAGCTTTAGGGAGAGATGACTTTTCCTGATATCCTATGTCTAGAACGACACTGTAGAGTTCATTAATATTGTGGATCCTTTGGATCACCTAGTCGAAAATTTAAGAGAACCATTTGGGGAAAGGATGGTTGGGAGGAGGAAGGGACTCTGTGTGTCGTTTTTAACTGCGATCGACAATGCAATTCCCAGTACACAGACGACCATATACCTAACCAATGCATCTCAGTTTCAAAATGTCACAGACTGTCTTGGTCAATACTGAACAAACTTCTTTTCTTTCTAACCAGTCAGGCTTTTTAATGAACTTCTCAGCAGTAGCAGCAGGTGCTGTGCACACAGGGTAATTTATAGTACTGTCTGACGTACCACTGCATCTCAGACAATATGTTTTGTGTCCTTTGTATAGAATGTAGGCTGCATGGCTCTTGATGTACCATGGCATCTTAGACAACACGCTTTCTGTCCTTCATAAAGACCATAGGCAATATAGCCCCTGGATCAGATCCTGAAAACCAGCTGAGGCTAAGTACATACCAGGGTTGTCATTGTTTCTTTTCCTTGAATAAATGTAAAAAATATTATATACAATTAAAGTGACAGGTTTCCCATGGACTGTGGTCAATGGTTCACTTATGGTCCATGGGATACTTGCAGTTGGTTTTCTCCTTATGTATAAGATGAGACATGCCCACTTGGTTTTTAGGCAGCGTGCGTGTGTGAGTGAGCATGTGTGTATGCACCTGCATATACATCCCTAGCTGGGGACCTGCAGCTTTCTAGTAAGTATAGTTGGAACTAGTCCACCTTGTACAGCATCCACAGAATTAATACGCAAGTTCTGATTCTGGAATTTGTATTGAGGTTAGGTGAAGCCAAAAGGTCATTATGGTAAAGGAATACATATAGGATGCCAACCCATTAAGCTGGTGTTATTTTTGCTTTGTTTTGTTTCTTTTTCTTTTCAGACCATAATGGTATTTGAGAGACTTTTATTGTATTAAGTTACATTGTGCATCACCAGGAGGCCTCCGCCATGCCTGCCTCCACTTGGCTGCTGCCCTGTTGTTCCTGTACTTTGTCACTATTTCCTACTAGTGACTCTCAGAAGGGGCAGTGAGATGAGCAGAGTGGTGTAGGAAGTTTGTGGGAAGGATACAGCTAGAAGGGGGGGAAAAAAAGTTTTTAAGCTTGTGACCAGTAAATGCTTAGTAACCAGTAAATTTACATTGGAGATCTTTATGGTGTCTTCTTGTGCAGCACTTCTGTGCTCCCGTGTGTGTGATCTGTGTGATTTCTTTTCAACAGGGAACTTCTCCATTTTATAATCTATAGTTGACCATCCTACAGAACTCTTGCTAGTACTAGATTTGTGAGGAGAACTCTCTTGTGTGCATGCCTGTAAAATGAATTGCAAGTGAAGGGACGAGTTAGGGGCTTTCTTTTTTCATGTCCTCATGACAAGGTATTTAGCAGAATTTGAAGATTCATTGGACTCTGACAGGCGACATTGTGAGTGCTGCTGCTATGGTCTTAAACTTGCAGTCTCTGGGCTGTCAACCATGTTTCTTAGTGCTCACACCACCCCAGTCCCCAGGAGTTAGGGTGAGAAATTAGAATGCATTACAGGGGTGCACAGAATCTAGGCAGAACCTCCTTTGACTTACCAAGTCAGAAGTCTGAGCTGATGACATGCTGGGTACTAGAGTCAATGCATTCTTCATAATGAGATTTTCAGTTATATGTCAGTGCCTAATTAAGTCCAGATCCAGCCTTGTCTTCAGCTACAGTGGAGACTTACTTAATTCCTCATGGGGGGGAGAAGGACAGCATAGGCCTTTTGCTCAATTGCAGGTGTGTCTACATATGCATTTGATCCAGGAGCAGTTTACTCGTAAGTAAACTACTCGAGAGTAAATGCTCCTGGGGTGGTGTCTATATGTGCAGGGATGTGGGAGAAGATTTGCTGTTCCTAGTAGCAAACTGATTCTGCTTCCTGTGGCCCTGCAGTGGGCCCCTGTCACCACCAGAGGGAGCTCGAGGCTCCGGCCACACCTGCCAGCAGCCACCTGGCCAGGAGCAGCATGCAGAGGCCGGGACTAGCACACGGCAGCTGTCTCGTTGCAGCCTCTGCCTCCCTGTGCTATGGCTGCTCCAGCCCCTGCCCCTGGCAGTGATGACCAGCACCCTAGGTTTCTGCTGGCCCCAGTGGGCACCCAGCACCAAGGCCTTAGGCGAGCCACACACCTGCCAGTGGGGGCCAGGGCACCAGGTGTGAGAGGCACTGGCTGACCACCTCCTCCTGCACTCCCTGCTGTAGCCTGCCTGGACAGCTGCCCATGGACCTCTGTCCTATCACCCTGCCCCTGTCCTACCACCCACCCCCAGCTCTATGTTCACCACAGTCAGCTCGCATGAAAACACTTTATTGCCCTCACAACAAACAGACCCTCCTCCCACCTCCTTCCCCAACACCAGACCCATCATCCCTCCCTCCCCAACAACAGGGCCCCTCCACCACCCACCCCACCCACCAACAATATAACACACTCTTCCCTGTGCAAACTGTATATAACATGGCCCGTGTGTGTTCCCTCCTGGGGTGGGCAGCCATGGGGTGGGGGCACATAGGGATGGTGTCTGGGGACAGGTGGCCAGCACCCTTGCCTCTGGCTGTTCCCCCCTGCCGGTGTGCACGCCATGGCAAGCCTGGGGGGCAGGGGGCTTGCCCAGGGGTGATGGTAGCTGCTGGTCCTCCAGCATGGGCAACTCCTTCTTCAGCAGCCAGTGGACAGGAACAACATGTGGCCCGGACCCCACTGCAGGCAGCTCTGGCATCATACTGGGTCCAGGTGGAGGGTCTGGTGAAGGCAATGCTGGACCTCCATCCAAGCCCACATGGGGGCCTGCTGCTAGGCGTGCCTGCGAGGGGGCAGATGGGGCTATGGTCAGGGGCAGAGCAGTGGGCAGCACAAAAGCAACCACCAGGGCCAGGACAGTGTCCAGCACCTGGTGGTCCTCTTCTTTGGCCTCCACTGCCCTGACCATGAGTGCATCCTGCTCCTGCAGGGCTTCCATGCTCTTCTGGTCCAGGGCCAGGAGCTGCACCCTGAATTCCCGGTCTACCTGGTCCTGCACATCCTTACAGGTAATGTCCTCTGCCTGCCAACTATCCTAGTGGATGATGTCCTTTTCCTGCCACCTGTCCTGGTGGGTGATGTTCTCTGCCCACCACATCTTTGTGGCTGCCAGCCCATCCTCTGTGACCATTACCAGCCAGTCCAGGAGGAGGGTCCAATCTTGGGTCCACCTCCTGTGGAGCTGGGACATCTGCAGGGCCCTGGCCTACCACCAGGTGGTGGCTATGCTGTGGCCATATCCCAGCTGCAGCCTCTCCCCCATGTGCAGCTGGATGGCCTGCGGAGCCATGAGAAATAAGCTGTTTGTGGGAGTTTGCAACATCTCTGAGGTACAATACTCTGTACTAGGATCCCATGTGCTGCCTGGCCTCAGATCAGGGGTTGTTCATGCACGAGTGTCCATGGACCACAGTAAGTTGGCTGGGTAGGGTGGCTGCTGGCTGAACCTCCTGTCACTGCTTGCTCCCTAGGGGCCGGTAGGCTGCTGTATGCTGGCCGCAGGCAGCTTACCTCCCATGCCCCTTTCCCAGGCTGGGCCAGGCCAGGCTTCTGGCAGCACCTGTTGCTGTGGCTCTAGACCCCCCTCCCTCCCCTTCTCTTCCTGCAGGCCAGCTTGTCTCCTGCCCTGCTGCCAAGCCCATAGCACCTGAGCTTCGGGCGGTGGGGCTATGGAATGACTGGGATGTGGAGTTGCCTTCACCCCTGCCCTCCCCACAGGGGGCCTCTCCAGAGAGGCATCCCGGATCCAGCACCCCCTCCCTCCCATGGCTGCTCTGCACCCCAAGCATGCCCCTGCTATATGTGTCCTGGGTGCATTGCAAATTACTGTTTGTGTGGACTGAGGGGTGCCCAACCCACTATGCCCTGCTGCTGATGGCTATGGTGCCCCAAGCACACCTGGCAAAGGACCCTGAACTTTGTGGTGGGCAAGCCCGTGTGGCCCCGCAACCTCCGCTGCCACCTGGAGGGCTACCTGTGGTTGTGCTACACATCCCTGCCCTCTGCAGCTGAGGGGGACATCGCCGCTGGCATTAATGCATTCCTTGGCATGTGAAAGACCCGTACCCAACCAGCTGTGGAGGCATGGGCTGCTCAATAGTTTTGCACTGTCTTCTGCCTCCCTGCATGCTGTGGGGGGAAGCCTGGGGACCAGGGAAGCACAGCCAGGTGGGAAGCGCAGGCAGGGGCTGGGGCTCAGAGCTGGGGCTGAGAGCTGGGCCCTCCCCCCAGTGCGGGACTTACCATGGGGGTGGGACTGGTGTGTCCAGTGGCACTGATTAGTCCTGGTTAGTGATGGCATGCAGTTCCTGGCAGACTTCCTGGGCAGTGTGGCATGGCTTGTGGGTGCCTGGGCAGGGCTTGCCACCTTGGAGAGGAGTTGGTGCTGCTGGCAGCTGGTGGTGA